AATTAAACGTTACACTACCATCTTTCGTCCCCATGATTTTTACAACGCGTATCGAAGAAAAAAAAATTCGTGAATATGACGTAAGAATCACATTTTTTTTTTTTCAACATCTTTTTTATGTGAACCTAATACTTCATTATTTATTTTTTTTTAAAGTTGGAAGCTTCCATTACTTGGTTTAACGGACATAACGTGACAGCAAAAGGTATTTACACGGATAAATCAGAAGGTGTCGTCACAAGTCACGCATTAAAATTATTTTTACAATCGCCTACATTTACCGATGTTGCCGTAGTCGGAAAATTTTTCATGGATGATTCGCAATTTAAATTAGATCTTCAGGTTTTTCTCGATAGATTTACATTCAAAGATTTTTTTTTTTTTTCAATAAAATTAATTTCTAATTTTAATAAAAATTTTCAGGCGGATCACGCAAATGAAAAATATTCAATTTTACTTAAACATTTAGTACAGTCGCCATTAGAATTAGATTTATACGGAGAAGTTCGTTATAAAAATAGCATTTATAGTTTGACGACTTTAGTGAATTTAATCAAACAACGACAAGTTCTCGTCGAACTTCATTTAGATCAGTAAGAAAACATTCGAATTATTATTATTATTATTATTACGCTACACCCGGAAATTAATCGAGAAAAAATTTATCGTTTCAGGTACAGAGACATTCACATAACATTAAACGGCGTAAATATTCCAACGTATAAACAAGGAGGTATCGAAGTCAAATGGGATGCAAATAGAGATCCCAGTCAACGTTTTGAAGCAATTTTTAAATTTCAACATCCCAGATCCCTTAATTACAGCACAGAATTTTCCGTTACGTATCCGGGAAGATTAATTAAAGGGAAAGCATTATTCGCAGTTTACGGTAATTAATTAATTAAACGTTTGATTTTAATGAATGTTTTTGTTTATTATTATTATTTAGTAACGATTTTATATAATTTTTAAAGGTACAAAATTCGATTCGTTTGCATCAATGGAATGGAATCCTCAAGATGTTATCGATTTTAAACTTGGAGCCGTTTACGAAAATCAAAATATAACAAGTTTAAAATTAACATCCCAATTATTGACGCCATTTGTAGGATGGAAACGTACTTCATTAAATGCCGGGTATATTTTTAATCCCCATATTTTTTTTCTAATAAATCCATTAAATAATTTTAATAATTTTATTTAAAAGGATACACAAAGAAAAAAATCAATTGCGTTTAAATGGTACCGTTTGGTGGCAAGATAATCAAACGGTTTCTTTGGATATTTACGGTGATTACGAATTGTTGAAAAAAGTCACGCAAGATGATGAAGATTATTCCGATTTCGATTTATTATTAAGACCGGATATACCTGATTTATGGGTAGAATTTAGTGCTTCTCTTATAAGTACCGTAGCGGAAGTAAAACCAGTCAGTGCTGCATTTAAACATAAACAAAATAATAATTGTTTTAACACAATAATAAATTTAAAAGTAATTTTTTTTTTCCTTTAGTTTTTGTTTTTTGGTAATTTTACACGCAGGTTAATTTTTTTGTAAAATTTTTTTTGAAGGGTCAATCAAATCAACTCATTAGTATAAATAGTACCTGGGAAATGTTTCCCGGTCCGAATTCGACGAACGTAACGGGAACTATATTTTTATTATCACCGTATAAAGGCTACGAAAAAGGAATTTTAGTAGGACAATTATATTACACGATCGATTTAGATATACACGGGGTAGCAGAATTAAATTTAGATAGGAAAAAATATTCTGCCACGATAGACGGTATACAAAAAAAAAAAATTCACGTAAATAAAAAAATAAAAAAATTCGAATCCGTATACATATATATTATCGATTGATTATAGGTTATATTAAATCGATAAGAGATAATAAATTTATTATCGATATGAATACTCCATTGGCTTTATATTCAAAAATAACTGGAAAATTGGGTTATTCGGAAATTAATCGTCATTTAATGTGCATATGGGAATCCCCATCGAGTTCGATAGGTTTTGAAATATTATTCGATTTTCAAAATGCCGGAAATTTCGATTTGAAATTCCTAATTGCGACTCCGTTTGAATTTTTTTCAAAACTTTTACTACAAGGAAAATTAAAAACTCACATGGTAAATTTAATATTTTTTAAAATTAATTATTATATTAATAATAATAATAATAATTGTATTTTTTAACAGGCTGATTTTAAAATCGGACTTAATTTATTACTACTCGGTTTCGAAGGTTATTGGAAATATGTTAGCATGTACGATTTAGATTATAAATATACTTTATACACGCCATTGGAAGGATTTAAAAAAAATGGCGTCGTAGCTAGAATAAAATATAAAAATAATATCGACGTAGAATTGAGTTTAAAAGTTGCAGAGTTGAAGGTAAAGACAAATAAAAAAAAAAAATTTAAATTTATTCTTCGAATTTCAATTAATTAATAATAAAATTTTCTAGCTTGGCGTCATGTTACTTTGCGGACACAAAACAGATTCGTTAATGAATTTTAAAAAATTAGATCAAAGCGAAAGAAAACTTAATAATGATGATGATGATGAAGAAGATGAAAAATTATCGTGGGAAGGTCACGCACAAATCGATACTTATTTTTATCCAACGATAAAAGGAAATATAGACATAGAAGAAGAAGATGATATATATACTGTTAAAGGAGATTTAAAATTACCAAATGGCACCGTCGATCTTCACGACATATTAAATTTCGAAGTAAAAAAAAAGAGAGAGAGAGAGAGAAAGATTTATTAAGGATTTAAAATAATTATAATATTAAGTAATCCATTTTGTTTGTTGTTTGTTTTAGGATATATTCACAATAAAAAATAAAATTTTTATTAATTCATCATTTTCTATTTGCCAAGAATTAAATTCTAATTTTACATGGGATATAATGCTTGGAGAATATCACATAATTGGATTCGATATTAATGTTTTATCATATTCAAATAATAAAAATGTAATAATATAATATATTACAGTTTTCAGTATGTGTACATAATTGGATTTTTTCTGTACAAATATCGGATATTTTTTTTTAGGGTCATTTATTTATTAATTATACAATCGAACCCGTAGGAGGAGAAGATGAAGAAGGTGAAGATGATTACGGTGATAGTTTTACGGGGCATAAAATTCACAGATCGTACATACGTTTAGATACTCCATCGAAATATTTTCCAATGTTGGATATAAAAAGTTTGGTCGAAATAAAAGATAATAATTATAAAACAAATTTAACGATATTTACACAGCAAAATTTTTTTTCCTCTTCTGGAAATCTCCAGGTGATTACAAAAAAAAAAAAAAAAATTAATTAAATGAATTTGATGCGTTAAATAAAAAAAATTTTTTTTTACTCTACAGTTAGAAGATGGTTTTATTGATGCTGGTATTGGTATGGTTATGAAATCACCAAATTATAACATACCTGATTTTAAACTATCAGCAAAAAGAGAAATAACAACGACTGATAAAAATATTGAATTTCTTTTAATATTTAAACCACCCATACATAAAACGGTAATTTATTATTATTATTGTCATTTTTTTTTTAATGTGTGATAAACGATAAAATAAATAAATAATTTTTTTTTTCTAGTATCATTTCGAATGGATTTGGCATTACGAACCGAAAAATTCATTAAGATATCGTTGTAATATAGAAACACCGATAGATTATTTAAAAAAAGCAGAAATAATAACGACATTTTCACAAAATAAAGAGTAAATAACAATTATTTTTCTCTATTTATTTAATTTATTTTTTTAACGGAATTGTAATTTTTTTTTTGTTTTGTAAATCAGAGAGGAAAGAATAAACGCGGATACGAGATTAATTTATCATCCAAACGTTGATATTAAAATTAATTTTATAAAAAAAGAAAAATCATTAACACTAGATGCTGAAACTCCTTTGAAAGGTTTTGAAAAACTACAATACAATGGTGAAATTTTTCCAGATGGTAACAATAGATTTATTATTAACGGTTTATTGGTGTCAGACAAAATTTCATATAATGTCGAGGGTAATTTAGAATCCTCCGAAACTTTTCCACTGTCAGTAAGTTTTTTTAACAAAAAAACAAAAAAATTTCTTAACTTTTTATCGTATTATTATTATTATTATTAATTAATTAAAACAAATATTTTTTTTTTTTTTAATTTCTGAAAGAACCCTCATAGAATTTTCCTTCGGTGGTGGTGGTCGTGTAACTTTTGATACCCCCACCATCATTTTTCCTTCAGGAATTTTAGCCCCTTTTTTCCCACCTATACTAACACTCCTGTATATCAGACTCGAATTTAAATTTTATTGTTTTATCAGGGGGGGGATTATCGATAATAATTTTTTTTTTTATTAAATTATCAGATGGCGATAACATTAAGACCTCATTCGGAAGGTATACGTTCGGCAACGACATCAATAATTATTTCTAAAAACGATAGAGAATATGAATTCAAAGGAAATTTACAACATGGACGAGATAGTGTTTCGTCACGTGTGAAAATTATTTACGAAAACGATAAAATAAACGATTTGACGACCAAAATCGAAAGTACTTTTCCGATTTTACGAAACGTCGACGTACACGTAAAAATTTACGAAAATGAAAATGGAATGATTAATTTAGAATTGAACGGTGTCACGCCTTGGAAATGGATTGAAAATATAAAAGCATCTGGAAATTATTTGTAAGATGGGAAAATGAATACAAAAATTTCCTTTTTTTTTTAATAAGAAAATGGCCGCATGTAAATAATTTATAAACGTATACTAAATATTTTAGAAAATTAGAAAGAACTGGAAGATTGAGAGGAAATTTAGAAACGACAAAAATAAAAAGTTCACTAGATTGCGATTATTCTTGGTCATTCATGGAACAAATGGAATTGTTGTACAAAGCTGATTACACTTTATCAGATAGTAACGAATCTAAATATATAAAAGGAGAATTATTTTATAGAAATCCTAGTAAAAATTTTAAATATTTATCCGTTGGAGTTGATAGTGACGTCAATAAACAATTCACGTATGTATTTTTTCGAATATAAAAAGAAAATTTTCTATTTTTTTCCAAAAGTTAAATTTTTTTTTTTTTTTTAACTTCGTTTAGATTCGGTGCGAACGGTACTCTACTATTACCAGCACTCGAAGATATAAAAATTGCATTAAATTTAAAACTACCACCACCTGAACCGGAAATTCATACTTTTATTGGAAAATTACGATACTCGAAAAGTTTTTCTTATGTTGCATACGCTTTGAAATATTCAAACGACGTAGGAAGAGGACTTTATGGTACTTCTGGAGAGGTAATTTATGCAAGAGAACTTTTTTTTTTCACTCCGTTTTTTTCCCGTTATTATTTTTTTTTTCTACGATTAATTTTCCAGGTCAGTTACAACAAAAGCGAAATACAAGGAAATTTAAATTTGGAATGGGGAAAACAAGAGGAAGTAAAAGCTATAACGAACGTTTTACTCATGAAAAGACAGGAAAAGGTTTTAGATGTTCAATATAACCTTCATACACCCTATCATAAGGAAGATACAGTTTTAGCAAAATTAATATCCTATAAACAAAACGGTCATTTTGATATACAAGCTAATCTTTATTCTCCGAAAAATACATTATTGTCTTTTGCCGACGTACGCTTTGTTGATATTTACAACATGAACGGTACAGTTAATACAACAACTCCATTTTATCAACTCGAATATGCTGGAATGAATTTTGATATACTAACACAAAGGTTTGATGATATTTAATAAAAAATTTTCTGTGCTTTTAACTCATTCTAAAAAAAAAAAAAAATTCTCTCTTTTTCCTTTTTCCTTTTAATATCACAGAGGAAGAAAATCTAAAAGATACGTTTTAGTATTTTGGCCTAATAATACGGCTTTAGTTGATTCAGATCATGTGGATTCGAATAAAAACGATGAAAAAAGAGGTTTCACACGTAACGTAAATGGAAGAGTTTACGTTGAAATACCATTGGCAACACGTCACGTCGGTAATTTTACATACGGTTATCAGGTATTTATAAATAAGTATAAAATCGTAGGAGGTGTTTTTTTTTTTTAAATTAAATTTCTTGTAGATTTTACATAAAATTTTTTTTTTTTTTAGGAATTACCTTTGAAAGCTTCAGGTTATTGCATTTTTGATTATAATAAAAAACGTTTGTTGGATGGTACATATAATTGCGATAGCGAATCAAGAGCGGGATTCAGTCAAGATATTGTTGATATATCTGCTGTTAATACTTATTTACCTTTGGGCATACATTACATAAAACAATTTCATTACAGTGCCGGAAACGATCAAACAAATTATCCAACAGTTGTCAGTAACGAAACCTTTGAATTTTTTTTTTTTTTGTAAATTTATGTCCGTCGTCTAATGTTTTATGTTCTTTTTTTTTCAAAAGGATAAAATAACGGCTGACGTATTTCAATTGAACAACAAAACAAATTTTAATTTAAGAGGTATCGTTGAAATTAAAACAACAATCACTGGTAAAGATATTAAAATGACGGCGATACACGCAAATCGAACCGTAGATTTGGATACAAATTATCACTTTTTAGATCACGAATTTAAACATTCGAGTTTGTTAAGATTAGATCCGAAAGTTTGGGGAAGTTATGATTTACACATAATTAATAAAACAAACGTAAGCGCTAATATAAATTTAAAAAAAATTATTATTGGTATTAATAATTAATTTATTTAATTAAAAAAAATTTAAGATCGAAAGAGATGAAGAACACGTTACCGTTAATATATCATATCCGAAAAGAAATTTTACAATAACAGGATTTATGAGAAGCGATCAAAAACATCACGAAAGCGAAATTAAAGTCGATTGGGATCGTCCTCAGCATCCCAGAACAATCGGAGCTGGTATTGAATGGTGGAGAGTATCGAGAAAACCAGATCAACAAGTTTTAACAATTAGTTTTAAACATCCTTCTTTTGTTAAAGTAAATTTCAACCGTACAATTTTCCTCCATTTTTATTTATTTATTATTAATCAAACGAATAAATTTTTATTTATTAAAGGACGTTACATTTAATGGAACTTATATAAGACACGGTACAAAATCATTATTTACAAAACTCGACGTTGAATATTTTAATCAAATAAATAAAAAATTAACGATGGAGGGTAAAATACAAGATTTATCAAATCACGTTGAAAAAAAATACGACATACATTTGTCGGCTATTCATCCTGCGACAAAACTCGATTTTTCGACAAAAGGTACCGGATATGGCGGTTATGAAATTTATACCGTTAACAGTAACGCTCATTATCAGAGATCTTTTCTAACAAAACAAGAGGGTATGCTCATGGCTAAAATCAATACGCGTGATAAGGAAATTGATTTTCACGTAATTATTATTATAATTATTATTTTCGATATCAATTCGAAATTTGATTTTTACAAGTAATTATTCAAAATCATTACAGAAACGTTTTCAAGATGACGAATCCTATTTAAGAATTAAATTTCATAACGACGATAATTGTTGTAGTAGATTAAATGGAACGATTGCTAAATCAAACGTTTTTAATTACACTGGAGATTTTTTTATCGACGTAGATGAAAAAATTTTGGAATTTTTAGTCAACATGACACCCGGTAAGATTCCAGCAACGAAATGATTTAAATTAACCTGCGGGTTTTCGTGTTAATTAATACAGAAAATTTTTTTTTCCACGTGCAAAGATGCAACGGAAACATTTCACGCTTCCGGTAGAATTCCAGATGTTAGAAACGCACATTTAAATATTTGGAGAGAATATGATGACGTGACGATATCCGACGTTGCTTATTATTTAAAATTAAATCATTCGAGACTCGTGACGTCAAAACTTAAATGGAGAGCTAAATTACAAAAGGAAATTATAGTAAGTGAGATTATTACGATGTCATTAATCGAAACAAATCGAATCGATTAAAACAAAATTTTTCCCTTTTTTCAGACTGGAGTCGAATACGTTTACGCATCGGTTTTAAAACATGCAGAAGATTCGCTGGAATACTGGAAAATGTACACTCGTTCAGAAATAAAAGAAGCGATTTATGACATTTGGTTGAATTCGAAACCTCACATACAAGAATTTTTAGATGATTTAGAGTAGGTTTTAAAAAAAACTCGATCAATATATTGTTTAAATTAATCGATATATCGTTTATAAATCGATATATCCGTTTAAATTTTTTTTTTTATAATTTTGGATTTTTTTTTTTTATTAAACAGAGCATTGAAAACTCTCGAACAAGATTTCGAAGGTTTTAAAAAATTTTTAAACGATTCATATAATAATAATGATTTTTACATAAAAGACATAACCGGTAAAATATCGATACTGATCGATGAATTAGCAATTAACGGTCACGTTGCTGCTTTACCGGATATATTAAACGAAATGTGGCAGGTCATGGGTGAAAGTGGAGAAGCTATAAGAAACAGCATAATATGGATAATCGAAACCGTACGTATGCTTATCATTATCTTCGTTATCACAACTTAATTAATTAACATTAATTAATTTTTTTTTTTTCATCAGGTCAAAACATCCTATAGGAAAGCTATGGATTTTTTAAGGGGATTTTTAAAAGGTGATTCCGCCGAACAAATTTCCGCACTCGTGACAAACATAATCGATAAATATGATAAAATGGTTAAAGATTTACAAGTAACGGTTGTGAGACATTTGGAACAATTATGGAATAATTTTTTAAACATGATATCCGAATATTGGGAATTTTTTTTAAAATCCGTCGAACCGACTTTTATTAAATTTGTTCATTATGCAGAAACGGCATTTCTACAAGCAAGTAACGAAATACTCGGTAAATAATGGATTTTCGTATTGCCAACCGACGCTAAAATTTAATAAATAAATAAATGTATTAAAATTATTATTATTATTTTAGATTTTCTTTACGAGAGAAAAGTCGAATTGATAAAATCACCGTATTTTGCTAAATTGGCCAATTTCACAACGGATTTTGATAAATTTTACAAGGACATAACTAAAAATAGCACGATAACGAATATAAAAAAATATTCTGTAAAATTTTATGATTTCGTCAAAGAAAAATATTTCACACTCGTACCTTTTGGAAAAGAAATCCAAGAAATAGTTGATGAAATCGTTAACGAACTTAAAGAATTAAATAAATTACCATCGATAAATTACATAGTGACGAAAACAAAAGATTTTTACAATAAATTATCTTGGTTATGGGAATCCCTTGATCTCGAAGCTAAAATTCAAAGTGCCATAAGTTTAATACATAGTAAATTAACGGACGGTACGAAATCGGCATTAGATGCTGATATAAGATATAGAAAAGCTAAAACGAAATTCGTATTCGACATCGATAAAGGAATTATATTACTTGAGCAAAAACTTCCAATGTCTTGGCACGCGTTTAATGAAACTCCGAAATTCGAAGAAATTCCCGAATATCGAGCCGTTGCTAATTTTCAAAATTATTTAGCATTTTCAAATAAAACATTTTGGACATTTTATCACGAATATAAACCCTATACGGAAATACAAAATTGGTTTCCACCTTTCAAATGTGAGTTTTTTTAAAAAAATTTTCTTTTTTCTTTTTTTTTTTAAATTCTTTTCATTCATTCATTCATTCATTCGTTTTTTTTCTTTTCAGCACAAGCCATTATAGCCGGAAATCAATTTTTCATGACTTTTGATAAAACATTTTATGAATTTCGTGGACCTTGTCAATATTTATTAGCACACGATTTTGTTAATAATAATTTTTCTTTGTTGATGACGAGAGATTCGCAAGTTAAACACGATTATTTTACTCTGACTCTTATAAGTCATAATATTTCTATATCTATTGATATGTTCACTGATGTTCGTACTATTAATATTATTATTATTATAATTTTACATTCGTTTTAATAATTTTTTTCCCCTCACCTTTGATTTTTCAGACCGTTAAGTTACCCAAAATGGAAGCCAATCATTTACCTGCTGAATTTGGTAATTTATATATATATAAAGAAATGGGAGTGATAACAGTAGAAGAAAGAGAAGGGTATATATTACAATGTAACGTTTTGTTTAAAGTTTGTTCTTTAACTTTATCCGGTAAGAATTTCATTATACAAGGAAAAATTGTTTTGTTGTTTGTCGAAGAATAACAGTTAATTTTTTTAAGGTTGGTATTTCGGTAAAACTGCCGGACTTTTGGGTACGATGGATCACGAGAAAACATCGGATTTTCTTACTTCACAAAATCACGTCGAACCGGATGTTGGAAAATTTGCATATAGTTGGGCATTGGATAAAGACACGTGTAAATATGCGAATAATCAAGCCCACGTGTCAAAAAATTTAAACGAAGAATTATTTAACGTTTGTGCATCATTGTTCAAATCGAAAAATTCACAATATTCAACTTGTTTTAATAGAGTATGTAATTGTTTGTTTGTTTTATGTCGACAAACGCGTATGAAATTAAAAAAAAAAAATAAAATTTTAATTTAAGGTAAATCCGAGTCCGTTTATGTCAGCTTGTCTCAATGGTAAAAAAACAAAAGATAATTCAGATGTTTGTACAATTGCCGTAGCATATTCAGTTGCTTGTCAATCCGAATATACGCCACTTCCGGTACCGGATTTTTGCGTTCAGTTAGTAAAAAAAAAAAACGCCATTTTTTGTTATTTTTTCCTTCCCTTAATTAAATATCAAAACGAATAAAAATTTTTTTTATTTTCATAATAATGATGAAAACCAGATGTAAACTCATGAATATGAAAACAGTACCGGAAGGAGAATATTTTGAATTATCAAGCGATGAAATTCCTAAATCAACGGATGTTGTTTTTATTATCGAAGCTAAAGAATGTAATAGAAAATTATTTTCCGAAAGGAATATGGAAATTTTACACACAAGTTTATTTCGAGAACTCATCGATGAAGGTTTAACGGATAATAGGTAAATGAATAACTAATTAACTTAATTTTCGTCGAATATTTTTTTTTATTAACCTTTCATCGACGAATTTAACCGAATCAACAAACAACAACAACAACCATTGAGTTTATAATTTATTACGTACGAATCGATCAATTTTCCTTTTTGCCCATAAAAAAAACAAAAAAATTTAAACTAATTAATTAAGTAAATTAAAATTATTTTAATTAATTACCAAATAATAATAATAATAATATTAATAATAATAATAATAAAACAAGACAAAGTAAGAACCAAAAAACAAATCTTGTTCTACTGTCGACCTGAGGCAGCTCGACGAGAACGTGAATTTCACTGCTTCTGACCCTGGCCACTCCAAAGATGTTAGTCACCGGAGCCCAGTTCAGGAGACAAATCGTTCCCATCGAAAAAGACGGACTCAGGAAGACCTTCAAGAATTGATGTGGTGCTATCTTATAATAAGTGGCACCACCGAAATTCGAGTATTTGTCCCTAAGGAATCGGGTAGAAACCTCGGATAAATGCTTAAAAACTCCGACAAGTAGCCTTGTCGTGTTTAATGGTGGATAATAATAATAATATTATTATTATTAATAATAATTTTTATATATAAAACAAATTGGTCTACTGGATTTTTAAAATTAACTTTAAAAAACGAAGGCCAATAATAATTATAAGAAAAACTAAAATAGTTAACAAAACACCATTGACGCAATAGTCTTCTTATATTCATCTTTTTTTTGTTTTTAAATTTAAAAATTAATTTTTGTTTTTTTTTGTTTTTGTAAGGTTTGCAATCGTTGTTTTCGGAGGTGATGGAGTATACGATCGTCCGAGAACGTTATTATTAAATCAAAACGTATTTAACACGTTTAAATTGTTAAATAGTTATTACTGGAATTTTCCAGTCGGTCACGGCAACGAAGATATTTTCGAAGCCATAGCATTTGCATCACATTTAGAATTTAGACCTGGAGTATCGAAAACATTTATCGCAATGCCATGTTCTAATTGCGATGCGGCAAACATGACGGTAGGTTTATCATCTTATCATTATTATTATTATTACTGTTACGAAATTGTGAATGTTTCAACCTTCAAATCTTTTTTCTGGGTTAATTTTTCCGCCGCCATTTTTATTTTTACAGATCGAATATAGCGCTTTGCGTGAAGTTCTCCTCGATGGAAACGTCAAATTACATATTTTGATGAATAACGAATTTATATTTGAAAAACAAAAAGTTGCAAAAATATTTTATGGTATCGATGGTAAAAAAGCGTACACGAAAAAAGATTTTAAAACGATGAGAGGAGACAACGATTTAAGAAGACAAGCAAAATTACCTAAAACGATTATGGGATACTGTGCTCCTCTGGCATTAGAAACAAACGGTAATAACTTTATGGAACAAACGACAAACGACGGACGCCATTTTTTTTCTTTAATTTTATTAATAAAAAAAACAAATGAGAGAGAGGAGGAAATAAACGAAATTTTTTTTTTCGTTTGGATTTCAGGTACGGTTTTCACGGCTTTGAGATTGGAAAATGTTAAAAAAAATGCCGTTAAAAAATTTGCAACGGTTTTTGGTAAACGTGTGGCTAAATACGCACAACCGAGCGAATGTCAAAAATGCGAATGTTCCAGATACGAATCCGGAGTTAGTTTTATGGATTGTCATCCTTGCGAATATCCGATACCGGCTCATTTTGATTTGGTAATTTTTTTCTTCATAGAGTAAAAAAACATTTTTCCCCCTTTTTTTTCTTAGGCGCGTTTCATTTTTGACATTTCTTTCCTTTCCTTTTCTTTTTTTTTTTAAATTTAAAAAAGAAAAATTACCGACCATTTTTTTTCTTTTACGGGTAATTTATTATTATTATTATTTTGTTTCCCAACATTTTTTTTTCTTTTATTTTTTTTTAGCCCTTTCCATTATTATTATTATTATTATTATTATTATTATTATTATTATTATTATTTATTTTTTAATGAATTGATTTTGACGTGAAGAAGAGAAGAGAAAAAAAAGAAAAGTCGATTCATAAAAAATTGTTTCTCCTTTTTTTCATTTTTTCTTTTATCCCCTCTCTCTCTCTCTTTTTACTGCCTCTTTTTTTCTATCCCTCTCTCTCTCTCGGTTCATGTGTCTCTCTGTCTTTTTACTGTCATTCTTTTCTTATCCCCCTTTCACTTTTTCTTTACTGCCTCTCTCTCTCGTATTGTGCCTTTCTCTTTACATCTACATTTCGCTCTCTCTCTCTCTCTTTCTCTTTCTATCTCTTTCCTTTACCTTTGCAACCATTTCAACTCACCGTAAAAAAAAAAAAAAACTTTTATCGTCGTTTAAAAAAAAAGTTTAAAAATATTTTAATCAGGGTATAGTAACAACGGACAAACAAAATTAAAAAAATTCAATTTTAAACTTTGTTTGTATTCAAACCATAAATGATAATGATAATAATGATAATAATAATGATGATGATGATGAAATATCCGACAAGTGTATTTTTTCATTCTAAAAAGAAAAAATCCACGAAAGGAACGACCAATGATAAATTTTTGAAAGATTGTAAAATAAAAAAAAATTTACCGATCGTACGTCATAGTAATGATAATGATAATAATAGTAATAATAATAATAATAATAATAATAATAATAATAATAATAATAATAAATTTGATAAATATATATATATTAATTATTTTCAGTGTCTCAACGACTACGGATGCGATTTTACTCAGACATCGGATTCATACGACGAAGACGTTTTAAGGCATCCAGACGATCACCAAATGCAAACAGATGGCGGCGAAAGCTCCGAAATTTAATTTAAAAAATATAAAAAAAAATTATGATTAATAAATTGACTTTTCTATCTTTCTTTCTCTCCCACCCTCTCTCCTCTCTCTCTCACTCTATTGTTTAATAAAAAAAAAAAAATGGCGTCGATGATTATGAAAATAAAAATGGCGGAAAAAGATATGTGCAATAATTTTCGTATAAAGTTTCCTAATTAAATCAAACCGGGATTTAGACACGAAAACAATAAACTAAAAACTTTTCCTCGGTTGTCAATTATTATTATCATCATCATCATCATTATCATTATTAAATTTCTCACAAAACATTATGTACAGAAATGCGGTGTAAGGTTATTGAAACGTTAATAATGATTTATTGGTTGTGACAAAATTTCGGTTGGTTGACTAAATTAAACTATATATATATAATAAAAGAAGAGTTTTCCTCTTCCCCTTTCCCCCTTTCCCTCCCCCCAAAAAAAAAAGAAAAGCTTTTGTTTAGTTTTAAATAACACGCGTTAGTGTTTGTTATAAAACTAACAAAAAAATAAAAAAAATTATTTCTATTACGACGTTATGGGATTTTTTTTTCGTTTATTCGATATCGTCGTAAATAATCATAATCGAAAGGAAAAAAAAACGGAAGAGGTAGTGTTGGTGGGGGGTGCGAAGGCGGAGTTCGTGTCAGCAGAATCGTAGTTGGCGGTTTTTTTAAAAAAATTAAAAAAACGAACGAGGAGAGAAAGTATGTGGGAAAAAAAAATTATGAAATTATGAAAATTGTTCAAATAAATATTTTTCCACATACATAAAAAATTAATAATAATAATAATAATAATGATGATGATAATGATGATGATGATGATTTAAATTGGTCGTGACGTCACAGAGTTTAAAATAAAAAAACAACTTAAAGAGTTTAAATTAAAAGAGCAACAAAACGAATGAAAAAAAAAAGAAAAATTTTCCAAAGTGGAAGAAGAAAATTCGCTTTTAAAAAAAGATTTTTTTACTTAAGTCGTCATTAATTAATGATTACGACGTCGATGATGATGATGATAATTATTGTTTTAATGAAAATGAGAGGGGAGGGGGAAATAATAATAATAATAATAATAATAATAAATTTAAGAATATTTATTCGACGAAGAAAATAAGGAAAAAAGGTCGGCCGGCCGGTTACGGCAGCGGGGGCGGCGTGGTGGCGGCGGCGGTGGGGGTGGGGGTGCGAAAGAAGGTTAGGAGACGAAGGAGGTGGGGGGAGGAAGTGTACGAAAGGGTACGAAAGGGTAAAACCATGGATGGAGTCGTTAGTTAGGACCGCCAATGCGCGAAGTAACAACAAAACCGAAAATGCTGCTCCATAGACGTTCGTTCTAAAGCTTTCAAAAGAAAAAATTTTCAGTTTTCATTCGAACATGATCGAGGAGTCATATGAAGTCGGGAGAGAAAAAAATTTTTTTTTATTACGTTTCGCTTACGAGAAATTAAATTAAATTTTCTTTTTTCGAAATTAACTCCGTGTGATTTTTTATTTAAAAATTAAAAAAAAACGAACTCGAGTGTTTTTATTTATTTATTAATCGGTTTATTAAAATAGAAACGAATAATTGAAACGAATTTATTAAAGCATAAAAACAAGTGAGTATAAATTTTTTTTAAAAAATTTTATTTATTTATTTACTTTTTTTTATAAAGGGAACCGGAAACGTCTCCCCACATTTTACAAAAAATAAGTAATTATTATTATTATTATCGGATTACGATAAAAAAAATAATTAAAGAAAAAATTTTTTATTGTTATTTGGGGGGGGGGAGGAAGATGAAAAGAATTTTTGTTGTTGTTGTTGTTGTTGCGATTATTAAAAAATTTTTACCCCTACATTTTTTTATTTATTATATTTAAGAGGGGGGGAGGCAAAATTTATCCGTTTTCTTCATCTTTTTTTTCTTCATTTATGAAACATTTCTTTAAAAAAAAGAAAAATCTTTCCAGAATAAAAAAGAAGAAAAAACTGGAAAAGAAAAAAAAGAAAATGAAAAAACAATTCCAGAAAATAATAATTTATCAAAAAAAAAAGAAAAAAGAAAATTTTTTTAAAACTTAAATATCACGAAGTAAAAGTAGAAGTTATGATAATAACGATGATGATAATGATAATAGTAATGATAATAATGATAATATTATTCGAAGGGGAAGGAGGAGTGTGTGCGTGTGCGTGTGTGAAGAATTTTCTTTTTTCTTTCTTTCTTTACGGTTATAATGAATTTTATACCAATATTAATCACAATTTGTTTGTTATATTCTCTCTCTCTCTTTCTCTCTCTCTCTCTCTCCTTATCAACGACATCTTTTATCACTTTCTAAGAAATATAATTTTATGATTAAAACAAAACAATGAGCCAAATTCACAAAAAATTTTCTATAATATTTTGTATCAAAAATTTAATTTTATCGAAATAGAAGAAAAAAATGATAAAAAAAAAATTTTCCTGATAACAGAAAAAATAGGAAAAAAAGAAAATTTGTTTTATTTATTTATTGGAAAATTTGTTGTATGTTTGTTTGTTTTTTTGTTTGTTTTCTGTAATATCAGGGCCGACTTACGATGATAAAAACATATTATCAAAAAAAAAAAAAAAAAAGGGAAGAAAAAGAAGGAAAGGGAGAAGAAGGAGGAGGAGGATTTTTTTTTTCGTTGATAACAAACCCACATATTGCATTTTTTTCATAACTTTCGTTCTGGAACACAAATAATAATAATAATAATTAATTTCTTAATAACATTTTGATGAAAAATTTTTTTTTTTTTTTTTAAAAATTTCCTCCAAAATTTTCTTTCCCATTTTTTTTTTTTTTCGTAACACAAATTTATCGAAATTCGATAACTTTCCAGAAAGAAAAAAAAAAAAGATTAATTCAATAAAAAAGAAAAAAAATTTTTTTTTTTCGTTTATACATAAATATTATTATTATTATTATTTACATTTACTCTGGAGAAAATAAAAAAAATAAAAAAATTTTTTTTGATAATTTAAAAAAAAATTTTTTTTTCGTGGGGAGAGGAGGGAGGGATAAAAATAAAAAAAAGGATTTAAAGGATTTAATTTTTTTAAGGTCGATGAACTTTTTGTTTAAAAAAAATAATTTTTGCATTCGTTGAGGGGAGAAAGGGTAGGAGGCGAAAGGGGAGGAGCGAGTATGAAATTAGAGAGCTGGAAGAGAAAAATAAAACGAAACGAATAAAAAAATTACAAAAAAAAACCAATAATAATAATAATAATAATTTTTTGTTGATACTAATAACATGAAAAATTTTTCTCTCTCTCTCTCTCTCGTTGTTTTTTCGTCGTGTAAATAGAAGAGGTGAAAAAAAAGGAAAAACATACGTAAAAATAAATTTTAATAAAATTAAAAATTTTTTTTTTTTAATTAAAATGTTTTTCATAACTTTTTCATAATTTTTTGTTGTTTATTTATTTTCTCTAATAATTTTACTTTTCATAAAAAAAAAAAAATTAAATTTTTTTAAAGTTTTATAATTTAAAAAGTAATTTTTAAATTGTTATTATCTAATTACACGTTCGAAAAATAATTTTTTTTTTTTTTACTTTTTTTAATATTTAAAATTTTAATTTTTTTTCCAAGTTTAAAAGAGAGAGAGAGTGAGAGAGAGAGAGAGAGAGAGAGTGAGAGAGAGAGAGTGAGAGAGAGGGGAGAGAGAGAGGGGAGGGAGGAAGGAAGAGACAAAAATAAAAATATCAATTTTGAAAGTTTTTTCGTGGCAGATTTTTTTTTTCTTTTTTTTTTCTCTTCTTGTTCTAACATTTTCAAAATCTTTTCGTCACTTCCTTTTCCTATGTTAAAAATTTTTCACGTCTGCTGACTTCAGGATTTTAAATTTTCTTTTACAAAAAAAAAATTTTTCCTTTTCT